CTGGTGAGGGCGCTGAAGTTTCGATTTTCTAAACATCAGCCATGAAACATTAATGACTTTGAGAGGATCTGCAAATAGGAGTGGGTCAAAATCCCCCCTGAGATGTGTGCAAACCTTGTGGCCAACTACCAGAAACATCTGATTGCCAACAAAAGTTTTGCCACCAGTTCACATAAACCTACCATTGAAACTGTAGACTGATCATTTCTTTGTTAGTGGGCAAACTTACAAAATCAGCTGGGGTTCAAATAATTTTTTCAATGACTGTATCTGAAATTGCTAACATACTGTAGTTGCAGTTGCAAGTGGCTATGATGTGTCTACTGAAACCTACAGCAGGGATTTGTGATCCAGGGAACACCATTCACTAAGAAGTAACCCAAGGACCATTATTGTGGGGTGGCTATACCGGATGAGCACTATTTTAATCCTCAAAGTTTATATATTTGTATGAATTTGATTATTCACAAACAATAGGTAATAGGTTGTGGGGCTTAGGCCTATTCCACATGTATTAGAAGAGATAAAGACTTGAGAGCTGAGTATCAAAGTGTGAGCACTGAAGAGAGCTGAAATGTCACTATAAATGTAGGTGATACACTAAGCTGGATCTGTTAGTTGGACAAGAAGCTAAAATAAATGAGCAGCAGTTCATGATGTCAGACATAACTGTCAGGTGAGGTGTCAAAACTGAAAGCAGTGGGATTGGACTATGTACGGACAGTGGCCATTTTATATAATAACTGAATTTTGCTTTTAAGAAGAAGAAGCTGATTTTTTTTTATCTGTCTCATAAAGTGCACTGTAGAGAACACACAATGCGCTCCCATTGTCTCACCATAACTTCTCCCACCCTGCAGCTGAACGGTGTGTCCTGTAGCTCTCCGTTGCGCTGGATGTTGACACAAATTTCTCTAAGAGCACAGCCAGACAGCTCCAGCTGCGAGCGCCTGTATACAGCGAGCGACATGCAGAGGACAGAAAGCCCAGGAATTCAGACAGCTCTATAATAGAATCCATCAACTTTATATATATAGATATATATATACACACACACAGTATATACAATATATTATATTCAGAGGTGTTCCTAATATTCTGACTCTCTCATGTATATAGCTGGGAGGACAAATATAAAGAGCCGCCTCTGAATATTATATAGTCCAGTACAACACCACCTGTAAATATGACCTCAATAATATAATTTAATTCATATATTCATGACAGTTTCACCAAAAACTGAAACATTTGGAGCTTCAGCCACAGATGTTAAGGCGGAAATGTTGCACTGAAGTGCATACAGTTGTACAGGTGTACCTAATAAAGTGGCCGGTGAATGTATGTGTAAACATGTCCCAAAATATATGTTTACACTTCTGGTCTATTTTCCTGCATTGTACATGTGTAATCACAGTAAATGTGTACTGGGCTCTCAGCAATCAAGATGCAGGTGACCTACACTCAACACTGTGTCCAATGCCTCCTGTGTAGGCACCGAAAGAGCCCTGGAACCGCTCAAGCTACACCTTCTGTGTAGATGCAGCCTAAGGTGTTAGTGTGCCTCACCTGACAGTCCATCCATCTGGATTCAGGTTTCCACATAGCTGAGTGAAGCGGCTCAACAATTGGTGCCCCTCATCCAACTCCTCAGGAGTCACACTGGTAACTGCACCCACCAAAGACAAGGAGAGTTGTTAGCTACCAATAACTGATCTGTTCTGGTTTGGGTCTGTGTGGGCAGCCAGTGGAACCTGCCAAGAATCAACATATTTAGGATGGTAATATCCCTCAGTGTGACACACCTGAGGCTGAAAATCGGTTTTACAAATACACTGGTCTTCCTATAAGACTATTTCACTTTGTCCTAAACCCCTCTTGAGCCTTGTTTATACAGTGTGTTCCAATCAAATTCAACAAACCCTCTTAACTGCACAAACTTGTTGTAAATTGTGTGTTTCAACCTGATGAAGGCCTCAGGTTAATGAGTACATGGGCATTCATGAGATTTGATTGTTAGACTAATCAACATTTGCAGTATAACGCTACACACTGTTTTCCTTGTGGAGAAGTTTCATTCACAAAAATGTCAAAGAGTCCAAAGAATTTCACACTATGGAGCCTTAAGTCCTGCTGATGTCAGAAGATGTGAAAATATAACACATGAAAATCAGCAGAAATAAAAGTTTTGCAGAGTCAGTAATTGTATTAGATTAGAAGATATGAAAATGCAGCTGTTGGTGCAGCATCAACGCAACAGCACACAGTGACACACATGGTCTGTTGTTTATGGCTCACATTCATGTTTGAAAGCGACATGTATCTGACTCCATGCGTGAACACTGTTGGGCTCCTAAACTGCCACACGTGCAGATTTAACTGAAACGTGAGCCACGTGTGTATAAGAATAACCTCATTTGTGGGATGCTCAAATCACACAATCTCTCAAAAACTGCTTGGCTACAATATGTTCCTTACAGTTTGGTTTAAACAGAAATTTCTCCCACTGTTGTCCCATTAAACTGCCTAAGGTATAACAATAATTATTAAAAATGATTATAGAGTGCATAAGCTCCTGCCCCTCAGGATGACCCTGTGAGAATAAGGGTACAGAATGAGGTATGGACAATGGAGGGCTTGTAAGAAACTCACGTTTGACATCCTGGCTGTCCCTGTGTGTGCCAAGACTGGCATCTGTTGTCTTCAGCTCCAGGGAGACCATAATCCCAGCTGACGGCTTACAGACGAGGTTTACCAGAGTCTTGGATGGCAGGGGTACATGGAGGGAGAAGATCCTGAGAGACACAAGCAGGCAGAACTGTGGTAATGTCACTTTTCCCACTACGTGAAACAGAAAACACACACACACACACACACACACACACACACACACACAGACTTTGCACAAACTGGAGAAGTGGCAGACACAGGGATGAGTCCGTCCAGCAGCAGTGAGCAGCCTCCATTCCAGGCATCCTCTGGGCAACCCCGGCTTCTCAGCCAGCCCCCACCCTTCAGCTCCACATGGTAATACAGGGGCTGGATGTCCTGGGCACTCAGGTTGAACCAGTTCCTCTTTGTTTCTTGCTGCACAGACACAAGACAAGGCCACCAGCAAATCAAACTTTATACTACGAATTTCATTCAACAGAGAATGTTAATGATGAAGCACCACTAATGCAGTCACATACAGTATATTTAGTTTTTCTTTATTTAATTTATAGCCATATCAGTTGCTAAAGACAGAACTGTTCTTTGCTTAATGTATCGTATATTGTATAACGGAAGAGAGACTGGTTTGAAGAGCAGCACCTGCACTGTATTAGCCTGTTCAATATTACCGTTTGATTTTTGGAAAAAACACTAATTTCCTCCTTTCTCTTCCTTTTTGAAAACTGCAAATGGAGTAAATGGCCACCTATTCTTCTGGTACGTCCCTGCCAGTGTGACATTCTGTCCTCTTCATGCTCTACTAGATGACCTTGCACCTCTCCTTACAGAGGTGAGGTGACATACTGCAGAAGCCATGTAGCAGCTGCAAGTAAAGTGAACACTGAAACAGAGATTATGAAGGAAACAGGGGTTTAACCCAGGCAATATGAAAACTACTTGACCTCAGGAAAGAACCAGTCATACGAACAGCTTCATTCTTACGTGGCATGTCTGAAAGATTTCCGTCGTGTGAGTCGTGAACAGTCAGACTGCCGTCTCCTCGCGAAACACACTCATTTGACTTAAGAATTACAGTGGCTTCATCTGAACGAATGTGGAGTTTAAATAAGAGACCAAAGTTGATTTAATTAAAACTGCCTCTCAGTTGATCGCATCGATTATGCTAATGAACAAATCTCACACACCTCCTTATGAACAGGTGACACACAACACTGATATCAGCGAATTCGAATTGGAACACTCATACAAACAAACCTCACCGACAAATGTCAGAGAACGTTAGCACAAGAATACAAATATGTGAGTAATTTACTCAGGTAAATTAAGACTCTGGATCCTATTTTCGAAAATGTAAGCAATCCATTTTAATTAAAAATGACATTTTTTCATAATTACATATTTATATGTTCAATAAAATATAGCGGCCCAGTCATCTAGCAATCACAGCTTGGCTCTTGTCAGAGTCGCTCAGATTCTTACACTTACATTTTTCCTGCTTCCAACACATCAACTTCAAGAACTGACTGTTCACAGGCTGCTTAATATAGCCCACCACTTACAGGTGCCAACTGTAAAAAGATAATCAGTCATGCTCAGTCAAAGTCTGCCTGAACATGACCTAAAGTAAATAAGGATCTGTATTTGACTGCCTTCATTTTAGTCAATACCGATCCATTAAAATAGGCCCAGACTGAATGATCAATCCCGAAGATTGACTCGGGACATTAGAAGTCACACAGTTACTTTACTAAGAAAATCTCATGATAACTGTAGCAATAAAAGATACAAAGAAACAAATATTCTCTTCTGCCTCCTTCAGTACCTGTCCTCTCCAGTAGATAGCCTTCCCGAAGCCCTGGCAGAAGGAGGAGATGAAGGGCAGAGGTGAGACCGCCCGGTGGATGTACAGGTAGTCTGACAGAAGAGCCCAGAACCTGTAGGAAGTTCAGGAACATCTCAGTCTCAATCTATTCATCCTCTCTCATGAACTAACATACAATGTCATTGTTTTCCTACTGTTTCTAATTTAACTGTATAGCTCTCACTTGTCCTGATTCTTGCGGAATTCTGTCTTATCACTGTGGGTCTCGTACACCCAGCCAGGAGCAAAGATGGCTGCAGAGAAGTTGTGCTTCCGAATGAGTTCCAGTGCCTGGAGACAACCAAAACAAGAAGGTGCGTAATGTCAATGTTCTGCTAGTGATTAACATATCATCTCTGCCAAGGAGGTCATATTTTTCCTGGCACTTGTTTTTTGGTTGTTTTTTTTTTCACATCATAACATAAAAAGTATTGAATGGATTTTGATGAAATTGTTTTGGAGAGGTTTGGTATGACCCACAGCATAATCCGTTAGATTTTACTGCTGATCTGGATCATCATCAGGATCTACCACACACCAAAGTCTGATCTGGATCCAAGTAATATTCTGGATCTGCTGATCCACATAGAGCTCACAAAAAACTTGCTACTAAACGCAACCAATTTGCAGCCAAGCTCAAAATTCTAGCTGAAACCTACTCAGTTAGGGATTAACAACTCTGACATATCTGCAATAATTACTGAGCTAGCTCCTGAGGAAAACTGCCATAACTATAATATTGTTTTTCTTAAATAACATTCAAACTAAAAGTGATATCAATGTGATTCCAAATGCTAGGAGCAGGTTTCCATAGTCAAGAAATGAATATTCAATATTCCCATGATTGTCAAACTATCATGGGAATATTGCTTTTAGGTGGAATGGCATTATGGGGACAGTGAGCTGCCTTGATGGGGGTTTGTGCTCTCTGGGTGCTGTCTAGTTCATAAACAGACAAACGGTATCAACAGTACGCACCTTATTGGTTTCAAACTTTCCTCCTACCACGTCGCCTCGGGCAAACACGTCCACCCCAATGTAGATGTCAGCCTGGCGGCCTTGGGCCCCACTGTATTCCCTCATCACCTCAAGGTTCTGCTCTGTCCAGTTGTAGTTGGTGAAGAAACCATCACAGGAATCAAAAAACACCCTGATATGGAGAGATTGAGACAAACTGTTTCATAGGCAAGTTACTAAAGAAGTGACAACTTTGGTTGTCTAAATGGACACAGTTCAGTGGTTGAACAATTCATTCATGTTGACTTTTGATGTTTGCAACCTAAAGGAAACTTCTTAACCTGTTGGACTGATTGAGTTCATTCTGCCATTTTAGTTGTCCGTTCTCAATCACGCTGTCGTACCAGAGGACCAAGCTGCCAGGGACTCGCTCGTGCATCTGGTCCGTCAGATACCGCAGGAATAAAAGTGTGTTCTTCACCGCAACCTCCTGCAAGTAGAGAGGATCACACACAATCTGCTTGTTTTGCAGGATGTTACTTAGTACAGTCAGGTCGAGGTGAAGATGTTAAAAAGAAGGCTGCTATAAAAATGTTGTTTGAGGCTATTGCTGTCAAAAGGGGGTTTAATGACTTATTAAATCCAGGGGATCACTTACTTTTTCCACCAGCACTGTAAATGTTTAATGGGAGCTTTCAATAAAGACTGTACTCATTGTTATTCTTAGTGCATTATTAGCTTAAGCACATTGTGTCTCTATATATATTTGTGAATTAGATGAATATCAGATCCCATTTGTGACCAGTTAACCAGGGATCACTTTTTCTTGCTACCATTTAGCGTAAGCATTGCGTGGTACTGTGGTGAGATGTTTGCTTACACTGAGGACGTTCTCTATGTTAATGAGCCAGCCATCAAAACCATAATAGTGGCTGATCTGGACGAGTTTATCAGCTACCGCCCGGTACAATTCTTCCTCCTTCAGGAAGGCCTCGCACAATCTGGCTCCATCAGTCCACTCTGTGATAAAGGTTCCTGGAACACAGGCCAATGACAGCAGGGGGATGTTATACATCAGAGCAAACATGATGACGGGAAGGCTGATTGAGACAGTACTGAACTGCCTTCTCAAAATATAATCAAATGTCACTCATTTAAAAGATATAAGATATGAATTGGGTTTTGCTAAACTGGACCTGGTTGTCTTATTTTGAGCCTCATTACTCACCGATAACAGCAACACCGTGTTTATGTGCAGCACTGGTCCACACAGCAGGAGGAATAGTCACAAGGTTGTGTGAGAAGTAATTGAAAATATCAATGTACTGCCAGTGATAGAAGGCATACGGAGCTTCTGTACTTGTCCCCTGGACAAACCTTGACAACAGAAGAAAGCATGACATGGCGTTATGGAACATTAACGTGACTACAGGTACCAGATAAAGGGGCAGCTGTGGAGTTGGAGCTGGCCGTCTCCTAACCAGAGGATTAGGGTTCGATTCCTGGCTTGTCCAGTCCACATGTCGAAGTGCCCTTGTTCCCGGTACGTGAACGTGTGAGTGCTTGAGAAGGGAAATGGGTGAATGGCCAAATAGTGTGAAAGCACTTTGAGTGTAGTGCAGTGCATAGAAAAGCACAGCAATACCTGCAGGGAAAATAATTTATAGCCTGAGAAAGAAGTGATGTTATAGCAGAAGAACTGTGAACAGACCGTGGTCACATGACAAGAATAGCATATTAACCTAAAGAAAGTCTATACATTAGCACAGTATTATTATAAGGCTCTTACTCGATGATTACATTTTTCTCGTCTGTCTGATGACAAAGAATCTATTGTGAACATGTGTTAGTAAAAAAATCCAGAAGTTTGTGCTGCCTGAGCCAAAGAGAAGAGGACACTTAAAGTCATATATTCATTTATAATGATGGGAATTATTTAACAGCGTATGGATTATTTTTCTAATAAAATACCAGTTATCACAGTGTCCTCATGTTATTCTGAACTGCAGTGATGGAAGTCTGTAAAAGCACTGACACAGTCAGAAATTTAGTCTGGAATCAAATAATCTTTGTGCATTTAAAACACAGTGTTGAGCATCATGTAGCTGTAGACTCCCTCCGTTTGCTTTAAAACCAGGTTGACCTATGGAAAGCCTGAAGCAGTACATTATCACATTAATGTAGACTCTGTCCCTGTCAGGATCCTGTAGGAATGATCCCTTCATTTTTCCAGTGATCTGATTAGTCAGTCCACGGGCTGCTGACAGCACGTGGTTATGGCACAGCGCACCACATACCTCGGGCAGCACACTATGTGCAAGATGTCGGCAGTTCAACTCCGACCGCCAACAGGTCTCTCTTTCTGTCTCCCCTGTTTCCTATCCATACTTCCTTAATAAATGAATACTAAAAAAAACCACAATACTGTAGGTGAGCCAGCTTTGTGGAACTGAAAAGCCTGAGCTAAGCCCAAAGTTAGCTGGATAATTCACTAATCTTGCTTTGTGGTACAAGCCCCAGCTCACTGTGAACTATGTTGGCTTTAAGGTGACATTACAATATCAGGGGGAGCACCTTTAAGAATTCACAGCCCTGAACAATTCATCCTGACAACATGTGCCTAGACGTTTTTAAAGAGCTGTAAATACACCTTCATACCTGTCATCTATGTAGCCGCCCATCATGTCATGAGACACCAAAGTTCGATGTGGACAACTGGCCAGAGGAGGCTCTCGAGGTGCCAGAGGGACTACTGCCACATTAAATGGGTTTGCCTCACTTATCTTCCATGACAGTAGCTCGTCTAAACTCTGTAGACCACTGCTGATTGGTTCAGTGGTGTCTGCATCAAAGTGTTTGGCTGGAACATAACAGGAAATAGCATCTGGTGAAAGATGGTTCTTGTTGTTTGATGTGTGGACACCAAGAAGACAGACGCAACTCAGATTGCTCCAGACAGTCTTAAAGGAGTAATATAGTCACCAAACCTGGTAGCGGTGAGGGTATGTACTTGATAACTTCATAGATGCTACTTGAATCCATGGGTTGATCCAAACAAGACTCCAACCTGGTGACAGTAAAAGTTAAGTGCCCAGTGAGACTCTTGCATTTTGTTGTATTGCGCACTGGGCCCTGAGTAGTAGAACATCTATATGACCGTTTTATTGGCTACTAATCTTTTTTTCTATGATACATCCTCTGTGGTCAGACACATCAAGGCCTATCAGATCTACTTCAAACTATTCACTAATCTGTGATGGTAATTTACCGTTTCAATGACTAATGATCTGTAATGAACACTATATTACTTTCAGAGACACTTTTCTTTTATAATGTCTTCTGGTTGGGTTTTGTCAAGTCTAAGAAAGTGACTGGAAGGATGTCATGATGATAACATCAGGGTTATATCAGCTTAGGATTGGAGATTTGATCTGAATTTACAACAGGCCGCTCGCAATATAAATTCAGACAGACAGATAATTTAAAGTTTTCAAAGTATTTATGTAGATGCGAGTGGCTAAAAGTTTTGAAATTAATGGGGTACTAGTTTTATCTATCTATCTATCTATCCATCTACTGTGAACTGCATTTGAAGCTAACTTAACTCATTACCAACTAGCCTAGCCTACAAAGTGAAAAGTATTCTGCCGAGTAGCCTACAGTACCGGCTGGGTTCTGTTTCACTCCTCTTCACGCCGCGATCTGCAACTCCCTCCTCTCGTTTCCTTTGTGGGAGAACCTTGTTTCCACCAATCAACTCCATTTCGTTGAATTTGACAAATCAACAAACTATAGTGTGAACAGGGAAACCGAAAGAAATGAGTGCTGTTGCGTTAGATCCCAAAACGCGGGAGGAGACTCTTGAGGAAACAATTTTCACCGAAGATAACGCTATGTTTCCCCTTACCTTTGAACCTAACCTCTATAACCCTAACCAGTCGTATTTTATGGTGCTTAACCTGATTCAAATCCTAAGTCAATGCTAAACAACTACATCTGCCTACTCCCGAGTTTTGGGATATAATGTTCGCCTCGGCCGTCTTCTTCTTCTACTGCTTCTCCCTCTACTTCTTCTTTTGTTATTTATTGGCGCGTTGCAAACAGCGTTTAGGTATGTTACTGTCACCTCATGGACTGCAGTCTGGAACAGCCTGGTTACTATCGGCTATTTTCTGGCTAAATCCAATGCTTTCTAAAAAAAAAAAAAAAACTAATTAGCCCCATTCTGTGTCCCACATCCCCTCAAAATATGAAACAATTCTCTCAAGTGTCATGCTATTCCATCGACTTGTCTCTGTCTCTCTTGGCGGATGGAATCTCACACCAGTAGCACGCTTATTCAGGATCTTCAGTGAAATGTTGCTATTTTGCACACATAGTCTCTGTATGCCTATCATTTATATTGATACCTAGCCGGGAATGTAAATAAAATTGTCTATGGCCTTTCAACTCTGAATATCATTTGGGCTATGCCATGTCTTCAGTCCGACTACAGGTACATGTTATACTTATTAATGCACAAAAGTGTGCTGTACCAGCAATGACAACAAAAGACTTCCGACCTCAGGCATTCAAAATAAAAGCAGTTTCCATAAAGTAAAAAAATTAAACAAGGTAGTGAAATACTTGCTAGGTTAACGTTAACATACTTTTGCTAATCAGCTCATTTATTCTTTCACTAAAATGCACTGGTTTAGGCAAAAACATGAAGGGCATTATAGCCTACATCTGGAAAGCATAGGCTACCACAGCACACAAAAAGCATGTTTCATTACCAACTAGATGTCATTAGGCTACACATCTTGTTTTGTATGAAGAAAAAAGAAACACAACTTAATTAAAAGCCCCCCCCCCCCCCTACAACAGTTAGGTCTATATAATTGATTGTATTCCTTTTAAAAACACTGCTAGGAATGTAACGTTTTTATTCTGTTATATTGCGGCTAACTTTATTTTTATTATATTTTATTTAATCAGGTATTTAGTGACTTTGCTAATGTTATAGTTTATTTTAGAGAATGTATATAATCAACTGTCAGCTGGAGAAAGGACTGAGGCTAGGTGACAAAAGAACAAATCTTTTGTTATTGTGCAAGACCAGACACATTTACTTTGAGAAGATTTGTCCCTGGCAGGAAACCAAGGAAAAATAACAAAGGGCACTGAGGGAGGAAGTTAAAGATGGCCACCGTGCACAATAGGCTATGTAGGCTGTATTAGTGTGGACCAGTAGAGGTTAGGGGTTGTGTAAAGTTTTATCACAGAGGTCTACAAAGAGTTCCTTGGACTTTGTGGTTTAGTTTTTGTCATGAAATGCTGTATGAACTGTGTAGCAAAGGTGAGTGTTTTTCTAAACTTTGTCTAATCAATTCAGATAGACTCTAGTAAAGTTCTAGACTCATGTTAACAACAATTAAAGCATAAAGGAGGCACCTGGCCACAGTTTGGCCACACAATGCTTTTGAGAGATTTCAGTTTTGGACATCAAAAAATGTGTACTTTGTCAATTTAAAACTAAATCTACAACAAAATGTGCAAAAAGTTCTCTGCTGCATTTATATGCTGCAGGGACTGAATGTGAATGAACTGAAAGAACCGAGACATCGCAGCACAACTTCTACACAACTGAAGCCACTATATCGGATGAAGCAGTGGAGGAACATGACTCATGTACTATACAGTTTTGACTTTACTTCAGTTTCCATTTTATACTACTTTGCACTTCACTGGGCTACATTTAATGCATTTATATAGGCTAGACAAAACTAGCGAACAAAGTATAAAACACTGAAATGCTGCTTACATGTTAATGCATTAATAACAATGTTCCACCAATATAATAGGCAAGGCATGTTTATTTATAAAGCACATTTTCATAGCCTACACAAAGGCAATTCAAAGCCCTTAACACAATGCACACACATAGATAAAACATTAAGTGCACATTAAAAGCAACAATTACATGACAGCATAAAATAACAACATGTGTCTGTAGAGACCTAGTACTTTTAGGATAGGTTAGCTGTGGCAGACTGTGGATTCTTACACTATAGCCTACTACTGTCTATGTGGATTCTCAGGATATATCTTATACAGGCTAGAACAATAGCATATATCCTTATGAACTGGTGTTTTCTGCATAATAGGCCAGTTTAATTTTGATGAGCATATTTTGCTTTACTTTTATTTCTTTCGTTGTATTTTTATATTGTCGCATTGTTTCAGTTATGTTCTTTCTGACAAATAAGAACCTGGAGTGTTTAAACTGTCCAACATTACAATTCGTGATACAAAGGGTTTGGTTGTGGCTGTTACATGCACTGGTGTCTGCTGGAGTATCTATAATGAAACGCTCTCTGGGATAGTGGCCTCCCACATAATCCAGCACGGAAGTGATGTCAGACTCATCCAGTAGATCGCCGAACACAGAAAGCAGCAAGAGGATCTGAGCTCAATCGTTAACGCTATCTTATTCACATCTGTCTTCATCCGCAGAGAATTAAAGCTTATCGATAACAAAAACGTCGAGAGCAAGAAGTACACACTTGTACATTTCCAACAAGCGCAGTATTGCCACAATATGAGGTTGGTAGTATTTTAAAACAAGTGGCGAAAGATTGTGAGCTCCGACTTCTTCCGGAGACGACATAGTTTATCCCTTTGCTACAGAGGCGTTTTGTGTTTGTTTTTTTTCATGTTCTGCTTTTAAACAGACTCGAGCTTTATACTTGAACATTTTTGGATATTTTGGAGCTAGCGAGTTCGCTTGCTAGCCGACCACCGATTGCCATGGAGTTGAGAGTGGGAAACCGATACAGACTGGGCAGGAAAATTGGAAGTGGATCATTTGGAGACATTTACCTCGGTAAGTTATAGTCAGAGAAACTTAATGTAATGTTTCCATTTGTTTTTTGTTTACCACAGCACGATACACGAAGCTGTAGAGTTTGCCAGCTGGTTGCTTTTTCTGGGTCCAAAATGAGCGGATAGTAGGTCAGCTGTTTTATTTTAGCAATGTTAGCCACTAGCAGCCTATGTAGCAAAACGGATAGCAGTAAGAAGATGTCTCCTGTCTTTGCTTTAATTCACCGTAAACGACGTATTTATTCAGAGTGCTTGGCTTGGGGAGCACTAGCTGTATGTCATCATATAAAATTAATGTCCAAATGAACTTTGTTAATGGTGACTGGCTAATGATGGAGTTTCCTCTCGGTATTTCCTCACTGGGCAGCAGCAGTAGTCCAGAGTAGAATACATGACCAGGGGCTTGCACAGCCACCTATAAACACAATAAGCCGGCTCATTTTCCTCTTCTGGATTTAGTGAGAGTTTAATCAGAAAGCTAGTTAGATCAGTGGTTCTCAAAGGGGATTATTTCGTTGAGGTTTATATAGTATCAATTCTCAATATTTTATTTTGCTTCTGAAAAGACGCGAGCTAGTCAATCTGAGAATTCTCGATGTGTTGTGTTGAGTTTGGGTTCTCAGGGCTTAATTTGATCCAATGAAGCTCCACAGTCTAGTGTCACTTGAGATGTCTGACACTAATAAATCCAGCTGCTAGTTTAACATTAGAGCGGACATGTTCTTATGTCATTCAGTTCTAGTTGCAAAGTGGCAAAAGCTGTGGCTTATTCCGTAGTCTTAGCTCTTACTCAAAGTAAAGGTTGAAAGAGATACAGCCTATTGTAGCTGCCCTGGTGAAAGATTATTCAAGCCAAGAGTGGATTTAGACTGCTCACTAGCAATGGTGATAGTGGGAAATCCATCATTACTGAGCTCTGTGTATTTGAGGTACAAACATAGGGAAAACATAAACCTGTTTAAAAAAAAAAAAAAGCAAACTGAATGTACTAACCATTTGAAACATCTTTCTGATATTGAGTTGTGCTATCTGTGTTGCCATGTATCCTCTGGCGGCCATACCTGAGGGCCACAGCTCTTGGCAACAGTGGCTGAGTACAGCTTATCACATTTCTGAGGTGTAGACTTAGTCATCTTAACATCAATAGGGAGGAGACATTGATAATTTATTAACTGTATTTGCTGGCTGTGGACTGATCACTTCATTGCTGATAACCTGGAGAGAGCAATGCCCAGGGACCTGCACACAACATGACTTGCCTCTGATACAGTGTAATATAATTGAAATTCAGGACAGAGGTGGGAGGAACAGCAGCTCATCATAATACGTGAGAACTGGAACCAGCTAATGTGTGTGGCATTTTATTTGGTACATTACTTGTGATTAGTTGATAATAGTTAGGAATAAATAGTCACTTCCTGTTGATAAATTTATCAGTAAATCAGTGGATTGTTTCAGCGGTATTGCTGTAGGCTGTATTCAGATTATTAGTATGATATTGTTGAAAGTCAAAGCTTTGAATTAATTTTCCAGTGCATGTTTTGTTTTCTAAAAGACCATAGTGGTTTTGTGTGTTTTAGCACATTGACCACAACCACATGTTTTACCGTACATTTTAGCATTTTGTGAACGATTCACGAGGGAGAACAGAATCGTAATAACTGTTGATTTGAGCAAGCAACAGGGGTTCTCCGACTCCTGGTGGTCAAAGCTGCTGGCACTCACTTTTGGCAGCCTGAATCCCCAGAGATCAAACACACTGTCTCCAGTTCTTTTTGACCTGGGAGTGAAGGATCATCTCATTCCTTCTACTTTCAAAATAAAAGCTGGGACAGTGACATCTTTTTTTTTAATCAGTAAGAGCAGTTACTGTTTTAAAAATCAGTGTATTGACACAAAATAATACATCAAATTTGTTGGCAAATGGTCTAGTTTTTTAAGATATTGTGACAGAGAAATGATGATAATCAAATTACTAGATACATCTTTGTTTCCAAGGAGAGAGTTATTTCCATAGCCTGTATGCAGCAGAGAAATAATTCACTAGGAATGTGCACAAAATGATCAGTTATTTGATTTGTTGAAAAGATCAACACCGTTGAATACTTAAAAAAAAAAAAAACAACACCACCATTTTGTAGAGAAGCAGAACTAAGGTTTATGACACCATTTCTGCTTGTATGCTACACAGTTTACATAGAGAGCAGGCAGGAGATATGTTTGCACATTGAGCAAAAACATGAAGTGAAGTGTGGCTTTATTTTACCCAATTGGACAACGTTTTAGTACTCATTATGAAGCTTTTTTCCATGGTTCTCCCTGCATGATGAGGAGTTGTTTATAACAACACCGCAAAAATGTTGAGCTTCAGCACCAAAAAGATGAGGCAGAGTGACAATGAAAGTATTCTCAGACATTTCAGACCGACTAAAGATAGCCTAGACTGTCAGAAAATCAACTGCAATGAATTCCACTGATTATTTAGATCCCATTAACATTGGTAATCAAATGCAAAAAAGTGACCGGAACATATTTCTGAGCATTTAAAAATCAATACAAGACAGCTGCATATGATGCAAGATTTACATTGTAACCTATTTAAATTGACAATATATATTATATATTGTATTTCTGTTGAAGGGGGTCCCTGATGGACTAGTGGCTAGGATTTAGTGCTCTAGCCGTTGTGGCCTGGGTTTGATTCCGGGGTGGGCCCGG